AAACGCTGACGTTGACCTCATGTGCCTGTGAAATACCGGTCCCTTACTGGTTGTGGGTTGTTATTCAAAGCTGAATGTGTAGGAACTATAGAGAGAGTAGTGTTCTCATACCTGGAGATGAAAAGCACAAATTCTTCCAAGAGGTCACAGGGAGTTATGGGAAGGGAGTTGTTTTTTATGGACTTTTTATGGGTTATGCTTTGAACTAGCAGTGCTGTCCTCTAGCTGTTGAGGACACAACTCTGTATCAGGTATTGGTTTCATGCTATTCCACTTCCTGGAGGAAAGTGTCCCAGCCCATCACTGTTGTCCCCAAGCTGGCACCACAGCTGAGCCTTTAACAGGCCAGTCATTAGGGGATGCATTCTTCTGAGTAATGAAATATGTGGTGAAATCGAAGGATCCAATGGCCACACATCCACTATGATACCTTCTTGTTCCTGAGATGGGTCCCTTGGACATGGCCAACAGATCAATAGTTGGTGTTCTTGGAAGCTGGTGCCAGAAGCAGCGTGGTGGAAGAGGTGGGTGGCAGAGCTGTATGTGTAGACCGGTGTCCCTTCTAGTGAGGACGCAGCACTGCTTCTCCAGGGTGCAAGGGACCCACATGAACGACTTGTATCAGGTATGACCTGACTGTCTGCAGGGGTAGTGTCACACTGAGGGCGTAGCCTCATTCTCTATGGATACTGGGTCAGCCACTGAACACTGGAAACAGTGAGATGAGCCGTGGAGATAAGACGCCCTCCCTGCCACCATGGCTACTCCATCTGTGGCCCATGGGGCCAGCCCTCGGGGACTTAAGAGAGCCTGGCTAACATCCAAGCCAAGGCCTCCTGTCCAGCTGATGTGCTAACTGAGGTCTTCCTCTATGGAGGGTGCCCTCTAATGGGCATTCACATGAAATGCACAGAGATACACATTCTGTGTGCTCACTCCCTTTAAGTCCATCCCTGTATCTCTTTCCCAGACTTGTCTCCAATTTTCTAACCTTGCTTCTTTCAGTTTTCTGACCAACCAGCCAAGCCTTTCACACTGCAGCCTACTTCACCCTCAATTCCAAGTAAAAACCTGGAAATTTGCCCAGTGAGCACTCTGTGATGTCCTCTATGGCTGCCACTGAGCCCCGTCCCCAGCTGTCCTCTGTGGCCACCAGGTACCCCGTCCACCCAACAATGTCCACTGTGGCCGCTGCCAAGTGGGTATGAGATCGGGCGGCAGTGAGTTTATCACTCACGCCAGCTCAAGCTGCCCCATCTGTGAGCCAGGCCTGCCCATCCGCTGGTGAGACCTCTTGCCTGCAGCTCTAGGTGTGAGTGGAGGGAGAGAGTCACTGAAGTCAGCTTCACCTGTTCATGCAATTGACTCGAACCCCTTGGACCTGCTGGAACCTTATCAAACACAGGATCCTCATTGAGCAACGGGTCAAAGCTGCACTCCCATGTCTGTCACCTGACCACACCCAGCTGCAGCCACCCATCCCAACCAAACCTGCTGTCATCCAGTCGATTCCGACTCACAGCAACCCCCACAGGCCATAAATCTTTAGGGAGGCAGACTGCCTCGCCTTGCTCCCGGAGCAGCTGCTGGGCCCGAACTGCAGACCTTCTGGTGAACAGCCCAAGGCGTGAACCGCAGCCCCACCAGAGCTCCCTCTAGCCCGTTCACAGGGAATCTAATTTCCGTCGTGTCTCTCTTTACCATCACGACGCAAGTGGATTGCCCTATCCTCCTCGGAAGGAACACTGGGCCATCTACTTCCCCAGTGACAGACCGCCTCGGAAACCCAAGGAGGGGTCGCCGAGCCGGAGGCGAGTCCACAGCAGTGAGTTTGGTTTCTTCGGTTTCTCTTGACCAGGACCATGCAGGTGTGGTCTTCTTTGTGTGTTCTCTGCAGGGTTCACTGAGCTTTCGCATCTGTGGCTTAGTTTCTTTAATTCATGAAGTACCCATTTGTCTACTCTGCTCCCTCCTCCACGGACTCCAGCTCCGCACAGTCCTTCCTGGTGTTCCTTCACACCTTCCTGCGTGCCCCCCCCGTTTTCTCCCTGCCACTCATTGCGTCACTGCTTCTTATACGGCTTCTCTCTGGTCTGTGCTCGGAGCACCCACCTCACACTCACCAGACACCACGAGGAAACCCAGCTGCTGCTCAAGGGCTCTGGACTTAATCTTTGGCACCCTGCTCCAAGCGAAAGGAGGCCTGGGGGTGCATTGGTTAGGCACTCAGCTGCGAAGTGAAAGGTTAGCAGTTCAAACCCATCCAGAGTCTCCAAGATCTGGTGACCTGCTCCTACAAAGATTTACAGCCTAGGACACCCTGTGGGAGCAGTTCCACCTGCCACATGGGGTCCCTACGGCTTGGATCGACCCCATGGCACACACACACCAGAGCCCCACGGCACACACACACCAGAGCCCCACGGCACACACACACCAGAGCCCCACGGCACACACACACCAGAGCCCCATGGCACACACACACCAGAGCCCCATGGCACACACACACCAGAGCCCAAGCAAACAAGCAGCAGCTCTGATGGCACAGTGGGTAAGGCACGTGGCTGCCAGCCAGCTCAGCGTCCAAACCCACCAGCTGCTCTGTGGACGGAAGACGAGGCAATCCACTTCCGTAAAGACTGACAGCCTTCGAAACCCAACAGGGGTCACTGAGTCAGTATCGACTCCATGACAGCAAGTTAGGTTTTGGTTTTTGGCGGCGCAATGGTTAAGCGCCTGGCTTCTAACCCAAAGGTTACTGGTTCAAACCCACCCAGCGGCCCTGCAGCAGCAAACATCTGGTGGTCTGCTCCTGTAAGGAGTTCACACGGGGTTGTGTAAGTGGGAAATCAACCACATGGCATCTAATGACAGCCGAGCAAATGACACACTCACCAGATGTCTGGAGTCAACAGCTGTGCCGCGGCCTCGGGCATCTCCACTCGGATCCCTCAGCGGCACTAAAGTGCCCAACGCCTGCAGGGTGCGGGGCCTCCCAGCCAAGCCTGGATTCTGAGCCCGGCAGAAACTAATGCCCAGATAGATGCAGCCCCTGGGCTTAACTATCAGTTCTTCTAGCCCCTACGCTTCCGGGGCTGTGGATGCTCTCCAACGCCTTCATCCACACTGTCTTCTGCAGCTCTTGGCACAATCGTAACTCTGCCTCCAATGACTGGAACCCAGTGGCGGAGATCTGACCCCTACTTCCCTACGTTATTTTTCAAAGAGTCACACAGATGTCCTATTAAGTTCCCCACATGTGGGAAATACCACATGTGGCTGATAGCTTACTGAGGTGTGTAACTTAATTCCCACACTTCATGTAAAGCCTTAATGACACCCACGTGCATTTCCTCACCGCAAGAAATCTTCAGGACCGGTGCGGCCTGCTTCCTGGGCCCTCAGCAAGCTGGCCTGTCCCCACTGTGGTCCCACCCTGTACACCTGGGCCCCCATCACACTGCCTGTCCCCGTTGTGAGGTCCATTCTGTATAGCTGGGTCCCCATCACACTGCACCCTGTACACCTGGGCCCCCCTCACACTGCCCTGTCACTGCTGTGAGGTACCACCCTGTATACCTGGGTCCCCCCTCACACTGTACCCTATATACCTGGGCACCCATCACACTGCCTGTCCCTGCTGTGTAGTGCTGCCCTGTATCTGTTGCCATGGAGTAGATTCCAACTCCTAGAGACCCTGCAGCACAGAGTAGAAATACAGGGCTTCCAAGACTGTCACCTTTATGCTAGCTAACAGCTACGTCTTTGTCCTGCAGAGTGGCCGGGGAGTTCAAACTGCCTTTCAGTTAGCATCTGGGCACGCCACACTGTGCCACCAGCGCTCCTTACTAGCCTGACTCGTGTTTACTCCACCAGAGTGCTTTAGTAACTACGTGGGCTGGTGCTAACCTGCCATTGCAACAAAGGCCCGTCATACAATGTGTATTCATCCTGAGAGTTCAAACATACTCAAAATGAATAAACACATAAATCACACAATTATCACTACATAGGTCATTTCCATTTAATGAGGAAATTCATATTTTAACACACAGACAAACTAGAATGTGTCCACAAAAAGAAGATCAAGTCTGAAATGTCCAGAAACTAATTAGATGAAACGTTGCAGATTCAATACAGTATTTATTGAACAAGTGCAGAAAGAATGAGCTTGGGTGGCTGAGCCTGGAGACAATGAACAGGGTCCGAGCAGCTGTCACACGAGAACAGGACTTGTCTAGGATTTCTCCAAAAGGCGGAAGTGGAAGCCAGGGACAAACAGGAGCAACATGCGGGCTGCAGCTGGTGGCGCGGAGGTGGTGTCATAGCACCACCCCCGGCCTTCCTCTTCTGAAAGGAGATGTCACCGCCTGACACTTCCCAGGAGCGTCGTTAGGAAGCCTCTGTGCCACGGCAAACCCCCCGCCAGGGCGCCCACAGCACCCGGGCGCGAGAACCCCGGAGGCAGCCTGGGGTGCGGGGGAGGTTTCTGCTCCTCAGCTAGGTTCAGAAGGTGACATCACTGATCCTCAGGAAAAGCAGGGACTTTCTCCGAAGAGGGCAAGTCAGAACCCCCAGCACTCTGGCTTCTGCCTCCTGTGGACGGCCCTTCTCAAGGCCCACGTGAACCAGCCTGTCACTGGCCAGTGGCCCCAACAGGACTGCCGTGTACTGAACGGGTCTGACAGTGGACAGGCGCCGCTCCGTGGGAAGCAGCCCAGCCACGGCTGACCGGTCACGAGGAAACACAAACCAGCCCCGTGATACTGACGGGCTCCGTACAGACGCTCCACAGCACAAACAAGCTTCCACGGCGACAGAGCATGATGCTCAAGGACAACGAATACAGACTTTACATTATATGTGCACTGTACCCCTCAGTAAGGGTGCTGGGGTGCTCAACCCAGCCACAGCATGGAATTCAGACATCTTACATTTCTGTTTGTCGGCATACAAGACGCTGGAGTCGGATCTTGAACTTGGGGGCAGGGGGTGGTGACTCAGTTTTCCAGGAAAGCCACATAGTCGGTCAGCCTGGCTAACTGCTGTTCGTTGGGGATGGGTGGGACGGGGGCAGGCTCTGCAGCAAAGAGAGACAGGCACGTGAGGCACACGCCGGCTAACCGAGCTGGGAGCCTGCCACCCACCCCGGACCTTCAACGTGCAGAAGCAGGACACTTCCTCAGACGGCTCTGACGTTAGACATTTCAGGCCTCTGAGAAGGCCTTGCAAATTTTGGAGGAAAAAAAAACAGCCAAGAAGTCCCCTCTCTGATGAGCACCAACAGGAGCAAAGGCGTCCCTGGCTTTGTTATCTCTGAACTATTCCACGTGAAGGTTAAAAACACTTGTAACTATTTTCCCACACCAAATGGCTGGGAAGAGGCGGCTCTAGCAGTCCTCAGGGAAGCCCGTACCCACACACCCTCACACCCCTCACGCTGGATTCAACACACACTTATTGAGGCCTACGCACACCAGGCACTACGGAAGGGTGGGGTGGGGGAGAGTGGCCAGGAAACAAAACACTGAGCTGACATGCCCTGGCCTGTGACTGCTGGTCAGCTGGGGTTCCGGCTGACCACAGCAGGACCCCTGCCCTCAGCGAGTTTACCACCTGGCCTTTAAGTGACCACTGGCCAGCCTGGAGAGCCTGCTGAACACGACAGGCTATCCCAGGGTCTGTGACACAGTCACAGAGAAGGCTCTTCAGGGTGGGAGGCGGGGGGACCACCTCCTTGAGATGCGCTATACGGGGAACCCACACTCCCACTCTTACAGAATTGCAGCTCTTTGTTTACAAAGTGAGCACTAAGAAAAACTCAATACCCGTTATAAAAAACAAACACAGGATGATGAACCACACTTATAAGGAGTGTGTAAGAACACATACATACCTGACAGGGGGATGAACCTGTTAAAGGAGGCCTCCAGGACTCCTGCAAGGAAATCAACAGGGTTACCATCTGCGTCAGAGAGAAGGCCCTGCCTAGGCCTCTTCCCACAACATGTCCTTCTGTCCCATGCTGTCTGTGTCGATGGCCCTTTTCTTTCTCAGAAGGGGCAACGGGCCCTGATTTATGAGTCGTGTCTCACTGTCTAGACTTTGAGACAGATCTGAGCACACCAGATTTGGGTAAACATCACGGGCCTTTCCACAAGGCTTGAAACAACAGGGATTTGGAGCAGGTGGAAAAAAAAGGCGGGTGGAAGTAGATGTGTGGGGCTACATGGAAGCCAGCACTCAGCTGGCAGAAAAGGGGCTCCTGGAAAACAGGCAGAACATCCATGAGATGCAGGAATGAGCCCAGCTCATTGGGACACAGAGGAGACGTGTCCATCTGAATAAGCCTGAGGGCAGGGAATTCAGACAGAGACAAGCACAGGTCGCACAGTCTAAGACAGGGGAAGGAAGGCCAGAGCTTAAAGCCAACAATCCATCCCTGAAGGTTTTGTTCAGCAGGGTCTACATGACTCAGGTACAAGGAAGAAAAAGGAAGTATGTGAGGACAAGAGAAAGTGAGAACAGACACAGAGGAGCAGTCAGAAATGGCACGCACACAGGACAAATGATCACTGAGCACCAGGTCCGTGTGATCAGGACCACGGACCACTGACACAGAATACCACATCAACAAGAAACACATTTTCACCAGTCCAGATGAAAACAGGCCTTTCAGGATCCTTCCTGGCCTCAGAGCCATGGCTCCCTCTCTCAGTGACAGTCACTTCCGCTGGGTCACAGCAGACTCTGCAGATGACTCGACCCAGTGCCCTCTTACTAGCGTGCATGGCTACACATGTGGGAGAAGAGCACCACTTACCTGGCTTTTTGGGCATAACCATCCTTGTTGTGGAGTCAGCTTGCCATCCTTGCTCTAATATGCCTGAAAACGGATTTAACACAGACATGTGTAAAGAATCATACCCCCGTTTTCATGAAGCTGATGCACAATCCAGCGATGCCGTTACTGGTGTGACAGACGTGTCATTTCTGGAGTAAGCTGCTGCAGGTTACTAATAAGACAGACTACAAAGGCAGCATTCTCAACCACACTGGTTTCCAGGTATTTCTGAAACACGTGAGAGCCTGACTTCCCTCTGAGGCTGGGATAATCACTAACGGATGATTAGTTCCCTACACAGCATGGATTATTTAATCTCATCAATATCAACAACAGACCTGGGGAGACTTACATGGCACCTGTAACGATCATTCTATGAGGAAAAACAGAGGACAGTGATGACAAAGACGACATCTGATGTACACAATGTTTACAGAACTATCACAGAGACTCAGACAGGGTGGGGGTGGGGGCCGGGGAAAGCCAGGATTCAAAGCCAACAGCCAGTAAGACGAGGACAGACTCTGGGGTATACTCCACATTCAGTAATGAATTACAGGGCAATTTCAAGAGAAATGTGTGACAGTAATGGACAGTGTGACTGGGTCACCCTGTCCCGTGTGTCTGGAATTATCCTGGTCCTGGAAACGTCACAATAGGACATGGTGCCTGACAGAGCTCATGCTTTAGGTAGAGAACCAAATACTACAATCCCTGCAACACACGGTAGTGTGTGTTAGCCGGAGCGGACCGCACAGCAGCGGAGAGAGTGCAGTGGGCAGTGCCTAAGAAACAGGAATGCAGAAGCCTGTGTGTGAACCATGGTCAAGAGGGGGAGCAGGAAGCAACAGCAGCAGAAAACAGGCCAAAAATGGTGTGGGATGAGGCCGCCTGTGCCAAGGAGGGAGGGACGAGGATTTGGAACATGGGCAGTGAGGTAAATGAAGGGTTACTTTCTCAAACACAAACATTTACCTATCAGCGTGTCGTCAGGTGCGGGCCAGTCGGCTCTCACCCACAGCAACTCCATGTACGACAGAATGAAACACTGCCTGGCCCTGCACCAGCCTCACGATCTTTGCTATGACTGAGCCCATGGTTACAGCCAGTGTCAATTCATCTCATCTAGGGTCTTCCCCTTTGTTGCCAACCCTCTAATTTACCAAGCATGACATCCTTCTCCAGGGACTGGTCCCTTCTGACAACATGCCAAAGTAGGTGAGATGAAGTCTGGCCATTCTCGCTTCCAAGGCGCATTCTGGCTGCACTTCTTCCAGGACAGATTTGTTAGTTCTTTTGGAAATCCATGGTATTTTCAGTATACTTCACCACCACAACTTAAGGCATCAATTCTTCCTTAGTCTTCGTTATTCACTGTCCAGCTTTCACATGCATATGAGGCAAATGAAAATACCACGGCTTAGGTTAGGAGCACCTGTCTTCAAAGTGACATCTCTGCCTCCTAAGACTTTAGGAAGGTCTTTTGCAGCAGATGTGCCCAGTGCAAAACAACGTCTGATTTCCTAACTGCTGCTTCCACGGACGTTGGTTGTAGATTCAAGAAAAATGACATCTTTGACAACTTCAAGCTTTCCTCCATTCACTGTGATGTTGCTTATTCATCCAGTTTTGAGGATTTTTGTTTTATGTTGAGGTGCAATCCATGCTGCAGCCTGTACTTTTTTACCTTCATCAGTAAGTGCCTGAAGTCACCTTCATTTCCAGCAAGGAAGGCTGTGCTGTCTGCGTATTGCAGGTTGTTAATAAGTCTTCCTACAATCCTGATGCCACGTTATTCTTCATATAATCCAGTTTCTCGGATTATCTGCTCAACATACCGATTGACTAAGTATGGCAAAAACACAGTGACCCTTAATTTCCTTGTGAAAACTGCAGTGCAATGTGAGGTTGGATTTGGACTATGGCCACGTGCTCCCCTGCACCCCTCTTCCCTGCCTTCTTCAGGATCTCACCCCTCCCACCCCCAGACAACAGCCACTCCAATCTTTCTCTTCTGGGCTTCACCCTGGAGGGCTCGCCACCCCGACAGGATGTCTTGACCAAAGGTCTTAAAGATGACCGGAGAGCCAGGACAGCTGTTTAGGGGGTGTCTGAGGTTCCGTCGAGGACAGACCAAGAGTGGCCTATGCACCATGGGTCAAGTGAGACATACTTTCAATTTTGTAAAAATGGCAAAGCACTTACCTGCAAAGCTGTTACTGGAAAATGCCTTTAATCAGTGCCCATCTTTGGCAAAAAGTGCTTTAAAGTAAATGTGGCTCCAACATCTCTTTCTCACAACTCAGAAATCCAAAAAGCTCTATACACCCACCAAAAGCTTTTTTCACCTCTTCTGGTGGCAAAGCCTGGCTGTAACCACTGCAGACCACTTACAAACTTTGAGCATCCCACACACATGAACACACACGGGTTTTGCTGCAGGCATTAATGTGCCTGATGACAGGGTGCTTGCTGTCCAAGACCCCCTGAACCGCCAGCCTTCTGGTAGGAGTCAAATGCCTTAGGCATTATGCCACCAGAGCTCTACTGACTGAGAATTCACACTTCTAACTTCCACCTAAGAAGCCCAGGTGGCACAGTGGTTAAAGCATTTGGCTGCTAACCTAAAGGTCGACAGTTCAAACGCACCAGTCGCGCCCTGGGAGAACGACAAGGCAGTCTGATTCTGTGAAGTTTTGGATACACTGTGGGGCAGTTCTACCCTGTCCTATAGAGTTGCTGTAAGTCGGAACTGACTCGATGGCAATGCTTTGGTTTTGATTGATCTTCCATTTTCCTGTAAATGACAGGTAAGCCACTCTACCTTTCACAGCCTCTTCTACGGGCAACCCGACGAAGGCTGCGAAGTCGTCAGCGATGATAGAGGTGTAGGCCTGGGAAACCAGGGCAAAGGCCCGTCTCCTAGTCGCATCTGCAAGGGATGAAGGGAAACACTTCTAAAATATGTAATCACACTATTTTCCCTGCTTAATTTTTATGGACCAGCAAGACAAGCTCCCCCCAAAGATTTCTGCACTCATTGACACAGGTCTCTGTGCCTTGCATGCAGGCGCTCCAGTCCTGTTGACTAAACAAACACCACCCTTTCTTCACCTCTCAGACCACGCGTCTCTCAGAAGAAAACGGCAAGTCCAAAGACAGGAAAACGTGAAGACTCAGACCCTAAGAAAATCCCATTTAAATACATGTATGTATCTGGGGTGTAAACTTTTTAAAATTTCTCTAAGGAACTTAACACTTGAACTCATGTTGAACACACATCATGGAAGATACAAGCCTAGCTACTGATGAAAATCAAACTGAAACCTGTTGCTAAACACGCCTCCACAGGTTCACTCCCACATTCACTGACAAACACTGCAGTGAACGATGCAGAAAACCCCCGTCTGCGCAACCCGCGGCCTTGCCAGGGGGGCTCCAGGGCAGTACCCTCCTGGGAACTGCAGTGCCCACCTGGGTTCTGCTGGCAGAGCCTCACCCTTCCCTGGGAGGCCGGGGCAGTGAGGAGCAGCCTTTCTCCCTGCCCGCCCCGCGAAGCTCCCGGGTCACCAGAGTGGTGAGCACACAGAGCTGTCCCGAACTCGCTGCTCACAGGCTCCTCCAGAGGAAGGCCACAGGCAAGGCAAGAGAGACTACAGAGAGAAGGCGCAGTCAGGGGCTAACAAGGTAAAAAGAAGTCACTGCGTGAATTTTCAGAAGGTGGACCGACAGTGAACCAGGAAGACTGGCAGCCGATGGCGGGGCGGGGGGTGGGAAAGGGAAAGTGGGACAGGTTTCTCCCGTGGGACCAGTCCTCCCCTGCACCACCTCCCAGAGCGATCAGCAGCAGGACGGAACATCTACATTCGGAACTGATCAGTTACCAAATCCAGAAGCCAGGTGCAACACACACCAGGATGAGTTGCAAACTAAGTCCAAAGGCCAGGCCCTGCCTGCTTTCACACATGGGGTTTTCAAATCTCAGTCAACCCATAACTGAACTTGTTCAGGAGTACTGTAAGAGTCCATGGTCGTAGCAAAAATAAAACAAGTAAAGCTCTGCAGTCAAGGGTCATTTCAACCTAGAACTGAATGAAGACACCGGCCCCTAACTGCCAACACACGCTCAGGTAAGATGAACTGAAGGAGCACATGTACATCAAAATCCCAGCCCCGTCACCCATCTGAGGAAGCATGTGCACAGCCGCTCTGCCCGCCTGGCAGGGAGCATGCACCACCTCTCCCCTCACCACCTCTCCCCTCACCATGGCACCGTGGGAATGGGCCCGTCGAGCGAAGTTCAACCACAAGCACGGTACCTCGCAGAGCTTCCATGATGGGCTGCACCGTCTCCGACCACTGGTGAGCGCCGATGGTCGTGTAGATCCCAGGGAAGTCTCTCTGCCAGATCCTCTGTCCGACCGACCAAATCCCGCCCAGCTCAGAGTGTGCCTGCAACAAACCCACGGCCTCTGAGGGCCCTCACCGCAGGCTTACCAGCACTGCATCTTAAGCATGACACCAGAAGTGACAGCAAACTTGCTAGCGTATGGTTACAAACAGAAGTTAACATTTCTGTCAGGAAATAAGTAACTCTTCCAGCCCAATAACTGTCGAAAAGGGTTTTAAATACGGTGAGCAGGCACAGAAGTTTTATTTGCACTTTTGATATAAATTTTTACTATCATAGCAAATTTAGCCTTGAGAAAACAGTCCCAAAACACTGCAGTGTCAAGCCTGGGGATTAATTTTAACATTTTTTTTAAAAGTGTCTTATTTATATTTTACACACACACACAGAGGAGAAATATAGACAACACACAGACATGAAACATAAGTAAGCCACCTGGCTGTGTGTACATATAAAGTTCACGAGAAGAGGAAGTATGACTGATCCCGTGCCGAAGGCAGTGCCCGCTGCAGCCTCTGTAAGGGCTGAGCTGCTGCTGCCACAGTAACCAGATGGTTTCTCCTTATTTATAGTGAGGAACAAGCCCATCTTAATAGGAGGCCTCGGAAGGACGACAGAGGGAAAAGGCAAAGACCTGCTGGTGAGCTCCAAGAACACACATACAGGCTGGAGGACTCTCGGTCACGTTCTGATGTTTGAAAAGTTCCCTTCACGTTTTTGTTAGACTCAGAAGATCACATGAAATTAACAATTTGCTTCACTGCACTTCGGAAGAGACTTTTAAGTGGTCGTTTGTTCTAACCTTCCAAGCAAATATGAAATCTAAAATCCTAACTGGCAAAACAGCCTCCTTGCTGCCTACCGGGCACCATCACTTCCTGTGACATATTAGTTTCAAATGAAGCACCAGTATAGAAAAGTGCCCTGGTGGCATAGTGGGTAAGATACCTGGCTGCTAACCAGGTCAGTGGTTCAACCCACCAGCAGCTCTGGGGGAAGAAGACGAGGCAATCTACTTGCATAAAGAATTACCGCCTTGGACATTTGAGTTGAACATGTACCTGAGGCAGATACACTCCTTGGAGAGAACAATCATGGGAGAAAGAAGGGCTGCTTATACACAAGGAGACAGCTCAGTGGGCAGGAGTGCGTGGAGGGATGAATACAGGGAAGAGGTAACTATGGGGAGGAAGTAGAGGGGAACTGTTGCATTGTGATAAATTGTGGTCAATGTCACGAGACAAAGTATATGTGAATTGCTGTATGGAAAGTAAATTTGCTCTGTAAATTTTTACCCAAATCACAATTAAGAAAAAAAATTACAGCCTTGGAAACCCAATGGGGGTCGCTATGGGTTGGAACCGACTCGATGGCAGTGGGTATAGAAAAATGCACCTGTCAGATCTAAAGTGCCCCAGTCGTCTCATTACCTGCACAGCGACTCTCATAAGAAATGTCTCCAGAAACCTGACCCATGGTAGCTAAGCATCGATTTCTGTACCATCCAAGGAAAGTTATGTTTTTGATTAGAGGAATTTGACCATGTATTCTTAAATACCAGTTCAAGAGCTATTTCAGTAAAGCACACAGAAAAGAAAACAGAAAATATACCAGGTTGCAGTTGACATACCCCCCAGACGCCTAAACAGTGTACGCCCTTATCACACCACAGTGGTAAACACGTTGAAAGGATACTTACAGACTTGATAGCAGGCGGTATTCTTTTCCAAAGGTATCTTGCATTATTCCTAATTTACACCCCCCAAAAAAATACATGATCAATGACAAAAACCAATCATCAAGTAATGTCTACATTTTTCAGAGTCTAATACAAATACAGGTAAGTATGAGCTAGAATACACGGTTGAGTAGAGTGTAATTTTATATGAGTGTGTCCAGGGGAAACAGAAGTGGTTTTCCAGGTAAAATTACAGGAAATAGTTTATCAAAAGGTAACATTTGGCCATTTCTAATCACTTTTTTTTTTTTAAATTAGAAATCCAGGTACTAAGTTATGGCAACTGTACACTAAACACACAAACTAAAATAGAACAATTGCCCAAATAACATATTCCAACATAAAAATAAACAAATCCCCACGCCACCAAGGTTCTGCCTTCCCTGACAATACGCCTGGTACACAGAGCCTTTCTCCTCCCCCTCCCCATGGCCCCACCTGCCTGTGGGCACAGAGCCTCCCAACCCCTAGACAGGCGTCTGAAAGATCTGAAACCTGAACAAAAGCAAACAGATGATGATGGAATTACAAAAAACAGAATTTACACAAAATATGTGCAATAAGAACTTCAGTATTTAGTTTTTTGAAAGGTATGAAAATAGAAAGATGTGGAAGAACTTAAAACAAAAATTGATCGGCAATTATCGACAGGCTGTCAGGCCATCGGGGACACTTCTTGTGTACAACTGTGATGTTGGATTGCTCAGTGAACAATGGACATGAAAAATTATAAAAATCAAACTCTCCAGGAATCTTGCACACTTTTGTGTAAACCCTTCACAGGTTTTTAAACAATTCTCTCTTTCAGTTTCTCTTGGACTATTGATTAAATGTGAAAGGAACTCAACAGAAAGTCATAAAGAAAAACGACAAGAGACATTTAGGTATGTAGCACACGGACTTGACTAACACCGTAGTTTCTCATAACCAAGTGGAGCTCTTCGGAAAGGCTACCTAGAACCGGTGTTAATTTGTAACTGACAGTAACTCAGGGCAGTCACAGTCCACTCATCTACTGGGTTACACGTCAATGTGAAGGAGATGCACAAGGTGTTACAAGGAAAGGCACAGCCCACTGTGGCCAGGACTCAGTGTGCTACTTCAGCGCAAAGGGTGATCCTGTGTAACTTTGGGGACACCGCTGCTGTTTGCTTTAGGTAGAAAGTACGTACATGTCATTATAGAGCAGATACAAAGCCAGAAGCTGACCGTACACTGGGGCCGTGGCAATTCCTCCAGGTGCCTAGAAAGCCAAAAATGAAAGAGCATCACCTCATGTAGTCTTATCTTTTACTAAAAAAAAAAATAGTATATTAAGTCCCCAGGTTAAGACCATCAGACAACTCATACTTAAGAACAGAATGCCATGAAAAGCCTACTGTATTAACAATTTGAGTTAAACACAAGGGTTTGTAATAAAGAATGCCCTCCTATTTTTGTGACACCCATGAAAACAGCGCACAGCTTCAGTGGTTCGTGGGCCTGAGGAGGAACACCGTCAGCCTTTTTAAACTGGATCACGTTGCCGTTAACACCATATTGAGTGTGTCATTTTGTATTTGGCATAAAGTTCCTCTTATTTATCCTTGTAATGACACTTCCAAAGCATAAATTTGACAAGTGCTGGTGATGCATTAAAGAAAAGGAAAACCACAAAAACTGAAAATAACAAAATGATTAAAAAGAAGTGAAATGCTGCTGGTCACTAGAATAGCACTTGGCTATAGCTGGCCAACAATCAGAACAACTTTAAAGGACAAAGTGAGAATAACAGAGCATGTGAAAGGCTCTGCCCTGGTGAAAACCACAGTTAGGGCTAAGCAATGCAGAGGTTAATTGTCATTATTTACTTGTCAGCGTCACATGCCCGTGAGCCTCACTGAAGTACAAGAGATGGCTCCGAGCCTCTTCCATGATCTCAAAGCTGCACATGCAGCAGGTGAAGGGGACAGAAGCCATTCAACCATTTCTAACTGAAGGCACATTTACATCACAATAAAGTGCAAGACGCAGCAATGGCCGATCCAAGTGCAGTGAGTGATTTTCCTGAACTGTTAT